ATCTGTTTTGGTATTTCAAAATCTATTAAATGACTAACAAATTTAGCATTTACATGACTTTTATCTGCTCCAGTGTCTATGAGGTCAAGAAGATTCTTCTTATATCCTTCTTGATTTACATATCTTGTTTTGATATAATATTGCGAATTTGATGGTTCAGCAATACTTAATTTCTTAAGTTTGCTTATCTTAGAGTCTTGTCTAGAGGGGAATCTTGCAATAAGATTATCTCCTTCTAGGCTGACACTATTTCTTCTTATCAATTTTCCTTCAGAATTAATTTCTCTAGCTTGTTTGTGGGAATCAAGCAATATCTGTTCTGGTATAGTGACTTCTTGTTCTTGGTATTTCCTAGGAGGTATATATTGTGCTAATTCCTCAAAATCTTTATGTATGATAATATTGTCAGTTATTTTTCTTAGATTGTTATGATGGCTAGTACTAAAAGCAAAAATTGATTTTATGCTTATACTAATAACCTTACTTTTTCGTAACATTTTCAAGTTTCCAATTTTATAATATAAATTGAAACTTTGGTCAATATTTTCATCAATTAGTGATATTGCATAATTTGATTTTACCGTAAATATTATCTTTTGATAGACTAAGTTTTCTACAACTGTTCTTAATAGGGCATCTATAGGATCTTGTAAGATTCTGTTGTCCATACAATATATTTCTATTGGTATGTTCATACATTCTCTAAAGAATCCTTTTATCATTATCTGGACTCCTACTATTTCAATACATTTCAATTTGTTTCTTATGTTTTCCGAAATTTTGGATAACTTTTGTTTTACCCATTTTTTTGTAATTATAGGAATTCTTGCTTTTCCTATAATTTCTTCTATATTGATACACATTTCTTTATAATTCATACTTACAATTCTTTTATTTACTCTTGGTAGTATTCCTAAGAATCCTTGATAAAATACATCTTTTTCTTGTAAGTCTATTATTTTCTTGGTTATTTCTTTGTATTTTTTAATATCAAAGGTAATTTATTGATTTATACTTTCTATCGAGTCTTCAACTTCTTCAGTTATTTCTACTTCTATTTCTAGATCTGCTTGTTGTATCTCTTGATTCATATATACTATCTCCTCAGAATCTTCCTCTAATGAGGATGTATCTAATTCATAAATGCTACTACATTCACTACTTAAATCTTCAAAATATTCAATTGGTTCTATACCACTATAATCTTGGAATTTTTTATAAATTCTAAGAGTTTTTATATTCTGTCTATCCTTCTTTTTAGGACATTGAGGGGCAATGTGTCCTTCATTACAGATGAAACATTTACATTTTTTAATATTTCTTGGTTTAGATTTTTTATTTCAATTTCTTTTCTTGAAAAATTTTTTGTGTGGTTTAAAATTTCTTTTCTTAAAATTTTTGTAGTTTTTGAATTTTCTTTTATATTTCTTAAATAATTTATATTTCTTCTTATGGCATCAAAATTGTTCAATTTGACATATATCTTTGTAACAACACAAGGAATTCTTTCTTATTTTATATGCTTTCCTACTCTCTAGTGCTTCTTTGCATCACATGCCTATCATTCTTTTTGTAAATTCAATCCTACTTCCAAGACTATTTATTTTTACTACTGAATTCTATTTTTATATTTCGACTTGTTGATGGATTAGTATTCATCTTCGTATTTTTCATTTTTTCAGTCAATTCTTCCAACTGTTTTTTATATTCATCATACTTTTCACCAGTAGATTTTAAGAATTTTTGTTCTAGTTCTTCTACATCTATAATCATATATTGATTTTCTTCATTTTCTTCCCTTTATTATTTTCCCTTTGTGTTATCCTAAAATCTTGAGGTGGATTAATTATTATCCTATCTTTTCCTTTAAGGTTTTTATCTAAAAGAGCATTTCCTACTTGTAGATTATGATCTAAATTTTCTAGTCTCTTTTGTATTTCCTCAAAACTTTCATTTGTGGTGGGTCAAGCGTAGCGCCGTACATTCACAAGTTGGTTCACTTCCCAACTCTCAATAGTCAATTATTTCCTTTCTTCACTCGTAAGATTCACACACCCCCAAACTCGATTCTTTTATTCTCTTACCATGGTGTAATTCTACAGTTCAATTTTGTTTAAAATTTTCTCACACCACTATAATTTGGGTTAATTCAACCAGCAACGTCAACAATTCATTCATATAGTAATTCTCCCAATTTATGAGTGTTTCAACAATCGAGTTTATACTTAGTGATTCAAACACACTGGTTATCTAGGCCCCCAAGATCAGTCTCTCTTTTTTTCTTTTTCTTTTTTTTATTTATTTATCTCACTCTTTTTTCCACTTGACCCCTATAGCGAGTGTTAGGCCGGTAACTCCCCGATTTTTTGTATACCAAAGGATACCAGGTTTCAAGAAACCCCTACGGACTTAATAACTCGAGTCAAAAAGGTGCAGGTGTGAGGCTCAACTGAATAAGTGCAATGCTTCTTCTCTAATACAAAGAAGAGAAATTTATAGAGGTTAGATTTATAGCATTCGGTCATCACCAAGCTTATACTAGAAAATTAAATACACTCCACACAATCTTTTTAACATGCACAGAATCACCACAATCTTAAATCATTTCTTTCGCCGGTTAGAATGTCCCAAATTATAATGTATACTGTTAAGGGGGGTATTGACATTCATAGGTTACGGGATTACACACCTAAGTCATCTCTTCAACCTATGTGCATGAGCCCTCATGTTCTTGTACGATATTCAACTTAATACTCGTGCATAAATATTATACCGCTTCATATGTATAAGTAGAAAATCCAATTAAAACATATGATTCATCCACAATCCATAAACTAATACATGCTCTCAAATATATTCATCAAAGCTAACAAGACTATCTAACTCACACAAGCATGCTGAAGATGGAAATGCATATATAAATTATTATTATTTTTTTTTTACTACACACATGAACACATAAAACAAGCAAATCACATGCAAGCATTCGAGAAACTCAACAACGTAACAAATTTATTCACCCCCAAACTTAACTGAAATATTGTCCTCAATGTGAAATAGAAACAAAATAGAGAGGGCACTTACCTAACGAACGACGTTAATCGTCGTCCTCGACATCGTTGTCCTGGGTATTCGAAATTGGATTGGCAGGATGATCAGGTAGGAGAGGCGGCTAAGGAAATGTTCGATCAGAGTAAATCGAAGCCAATACCGCATTGAACTTATGTTGATAATGGAATTGCTCGCACAATGTATTTTGCATCAAATTCATTTGCAGTCGTATGTCATGAAGCTGAGTGGCAAGGTCAGAAGTGGGTTCACTAGCTGGTGTCGGTCGGCGTGAACGGAGCGACTGGTCGCTCCATAATTGAGGGTAGCCCGTTCTTTTGTTACTTCACTTAAATTGCTACTGAGAATAAGTTTGCCAGAACATCAGGCAAGGAATTTTCTGAGTGGAGGATCAAGTGCTATTATATAATTCCCGGCTTAAGCTTTTTCCAGGAAAATTGAAGTCTAGATGGTTCGGTCCTTTTACGGTCTCTCAGGTGTTTCTCTACGGGACAGTTGAATTACACCATCCAACTAAAGGAAATTTCAAAGTAAATGACCAACGCATCAAGCATTATGTAGAAGATTTCCCCACCGCCAAAGAGAGTCTCGATCTAGCTGTTCCCGAATAACTGCGGCACTATGTCCAGCTAATGACTTAAAAGAAGCGCTTCTTGTGAGGCAACCCAAACTCTACCATTTATTTTATTATTAGTTTTTGCTTTGATTTTGTTGTTCCTTTAATAATCTATGCTATCGTAGTAACACTTTCTTTTGTCTTTCCTTTTTTTTTTTTTTTTTT